AGTGACTGTACTTAATACAAGGTTGTTTTAGTTGCTTCTTTGCCAATTTTTTTTTCCTCCTGTCACTTTATTTATTTGGGGGGGGTTATTTGGAAAATGTCAAACCTACAGAAAAGCTGGAAGAATAGTACATTATTAACTCTTTCCTCATCAATTATAACATTTACTATATTTGCTTTCTGCATCTCTTTAAATATATAGGAGCAATTGTGTTGGCTCAAACATTTTAATGTGAGCTGCAGACATAATGACACCTCACCCTTAAATTTTTCAGGCCCCAAAATATCCTTTATAACTTTTAATTAAAATATCGAATTAAGGTTCAAATGTTAAAACCCTAATCCCCAGTGTGATGGTATTTGGAGGTGGGGCCTTTGGGAGGTGAGCAGATTTAGATGAGGTCGTGAGGGTGGATCCTTCATGATGAGAACAGTGTCCTTGTAAGAGGAAGAGACCAGAGGCCCCTCCCTCTTTACCATGTGAGGACACAGCGAGGAGGTGTCTTTCTGAGCACCAGAAAGAGGGTTCTTATCAGACACCAAATCTGCCAGTGCCTGGATCTTGGACTTCCCAGACTCCAGAACTGTGAGAAATGTTTGTTATTTAAGCCACCCAGTCTGTGGTGTTTTGTCACAACAGCCTGAGCAGACTGAGACAAATGTTCTATAATCCATTATTGTTATTCTTTTCTTTCATCTCAAACGGTCCCAGATTTGGCATTTGAAGCCAATTTTTGTGCCCCACCAGTCTTTGGGCATTTTTTTCTTTTCTGACTCAAGATGTTCTAAACTCACCTTATACTTTATCTGCCTCCAACCTGGAATCAACGATTTTCCCAAACATGCCTGGGTCTGTGGAACAGTATTTAGAAAACAAGATCAAGGGAACTACGTGTGCTCACTATTACTAGATTACGGCTTCTAGGCCCTTTCAGAGCATAGAGCCAGAGCTGGGGTTGCGGGGTGGGGGAAAGGTGGGGTGGTGTTGGGAAGAGAGAGAGAGGAAAATGCACACACATTCCTACAGGTATCTCCAGCTCAAAACTAGTAACACGGGGGTCTTCTTTATCTTCCTCCACTTTCTATCTTTATCTTCCTCCACTTTCTATCTCCCTTCTCCCATTGTGAGTAACCTAATTTACAATGACATCAACAAATTTGCTCAATTTTTTAAAATCTATGAGATTCAGAATTACATCCTAAAAACAGTCTCAGGAACATTTTCATCTTTAAACACTTGAATTTAACATCAGCGGTACCATATCATCCCAAATTATCCCGCAGAAATCACACAGAACAGACTAACAGCTCTTTAAATAGCAACAAGAGATAATGCACCTATATATAGGACTCAAATTGGACAACTTAGCAATGGCTGTTTCTTGAGAGGACCAAAGAGGACAAATTTAGAACAGATTACTGTGGCTTCTGCTTTAATTGGTTGAAGACTATTTGAGGTGTTTTCCTTTTCAAAATTTATCCTGTTTGATGTTTGGCATTTGTTTCAAAGCAATCCAGTGGACAGTGTGAGAAGATACACATAATGGTTAATGAGGTGATAGTGGCTGATGGGTGAGTGTTCTTTGTGTTATTTATACTCTCAGCTTTTGTGGATGTTTAAAATTTTTTATAATAAAAAGATTTAAAAATATATATTCCTGTCAAATCAGAGTAAGCATAAGCTTAAATGGCTAGCCCCAACTCAAATAAATGGCAAATAAGATGTGGCTCTATTATGTGAAAATAGGAAGTATTGATGATAATCTAGCTTATCTTTAAAAAACTGTCTAAGGAACTTTCATTTTTTTCGGACTTAAGTTCCATGTTTTAAAGGTTAGTCTACATAGCTAGATTATCCTCCAATAAATAAAACTTCACCAATTGTGGAAAAAGATTGACTTAAATTCCGCCTATCATTTTGCCAAATAGCTTTGTCACTAGAGGGAGATTGTATGATTAAAATATTCTTATAGTACGGATGCTTCATATTCCCCTTGGGATCAAAGTCCCCTCACAGACCGATGTGGAAGCCATCAGGCTACAGTATAACATGGCATCCGCCACAGCCAGATCTTTTGAGAGGCCAGGCATGATTTAATACAACGAATAGTGTTACATAAGTGAGCCCCAAACTTGCAAAATCCAACCATGCAGAAGACAAAAACAGGAGAAACGATCAGGGTCTGTAATGCTGAGGCAATTTGAACGTATGAAAGACTTTCCAGGTAAGAGGAAAGCTGAACTTTGAAAAGAGGCTTGCCACTTTATGTAAAAGCATAAAAATAAATTAAAAATTATGCTGGGGATGATGAATCTTCTGTCTAGTAAAGCTGGTTCCCCTACCTCATTTTGTCATAAACACAAAGGAGCTAGAAAAATAAAAAACTATAACTACATAGTAGGAATGGGGGAAAATGTACATGACCTCTGGCTTCTCTTTCCTGAGACTGTCATCATGATCAGGAGGACTTCTGCTTCTGGCCACCCAGTTGCCCAACTGCTGTCCGATGGGGCAGTTGGGTTAACCAGCTCACACACTGACCAAAAAAAGCATTTTCACAACAAAACTATAGAGCCTGGGGTGGCTTCCCAGGCCAGAAGACAAATAACCACTGCCATTAATGTGCACATGGAGGGACTGCATTTTAATAAAAGTGGTCATGACCCAAGATGAGAAACAGTCTGCAAATCTGGAGCAAAAGAATCTGGTTGAGCTTGGAAATAGCCAGATCATATTAAGAAATTTGCCTCATACATCTTATCAAGGAAACATACACAACATTATGTACTCTAACCAAGGATGCTTTGTTAATTCAGTGCTCAAATTAGTACTGGATGATGCAAGAACTTCCATTTTCTGAGGCAGAATTTCTGTTCTTTCAGAAAAACAAAGTCTGAGTGTACTGGGATACACTACTCATCTGAGATATTTAAAAATTAAAACTCTAGGAGTAGCATCTTGCTATGGCTCTTATCTTACCACACTGGACCTGCATGAAACAATCATTACAGCCTGGGCAAAAGAGACGTGTCTAACTGGCTCCAGGGCAAGCCCAACCTGGCAGCAGGATGGGCTGCCCTCTCCAAGGACCAAATTTCTGGATAAGCTGTCTATCATTTTTTAAATTTAAAAAAATCCCCATTTTTTGGTCCCAGCTTGACGTGGTACAGAAGGATGCCAAGATGAGGATGCAGGTTTGGCAGATTTCAAGATACCTACAACAAAAATTCTGGATCCGGGCTTCCCTGGTGGCACAGTGGTTGAGAGTCCGCCTGCTGATGCTGCCGATGCAGGGGACGCGGGTTCGTGTCCCAGTCCGGGAAGATCCCACATGCCGCGGAGTGGCTGGGCCCGTGAGCCATGGCCACTGAGCCTGTGCTTCTGGAGCCTGTGCTCCGCAACGGGAGAGGCCACAACAGTGAGAGGCCCGCGTACAGCTTAAAAAAAAAAAAAATTCTGGATCCCTTGTAAGCCATGCAAAGAAAACATATTCACAAGGTGGTCTCAAGGTTGAAGTGCTGGAATTGTTAAAAATAATTTTACAGCAAGTTTTCATAAATATCTCTTCATTTATTTCAGCCAAAATCTCAAAAACCAAATTGTACCAGAAAGTGTCAGCAAAAATTATCCCTCTCTTAGGAAGTCTGTAAGATTCCAAAGTGACTGGGTGTGAGCACAGCTCTGTGTGCAGGAGCACATCATGCTGCCAGGTGTCCCCTGGAGGTGGATATCTAGATGCAGGACAAGGGAAGAATCCAACTCTAGGCTCTTGAGCTGTGTTAAGACATGGTCACTTCTTGGGCTGGAAAATTCAGATGCCAATTCCAGAGAGGAAGCTGTTCAAAAATGGTCTGAGTTGAAGCTTAGCCATAGGTTTGGAATTCTAGGAAGATCTGGTAGCTGTATTCTTGGCCCCGATCTCTGAATTATAAACAGTGCTATTCAGTTAGGCAACAGAACTGTGAAAAGAAGGACTACGCAGAAAAACCAGTAGTTGGTCAGGAACGTCAAGCATCCACATTCCATGTCCTTATGCATCACAGATGCAGCCAGCTGTGAGCAAACCAGGTTCATTTCTTCTTTTCAGCTGATGCTCTAAGACTTGATTTAAGGATCAGTAGAGACCAAGCAAGCAGTAGCAAGGGTTTTAGAATTAGTTTCCTTCTAATGACAGTTTTACTATAAAATGGATACAAATAAACCAATCCACCAATGGAAAACCATGAAAAACTGGTGATATCTGTAACAGCTTTTATAGTTGTAAATTGTTTACATGACTTTATCACTGAAATATATGTCACTTGCTCTGAAATAAGGCAGTAGCTTAAAGAAATGATCACTTACCTATCTCCAGCATCTAAAAACATCCTATATCATTAAGACTGATAGGCAGTCAATTCTGTCTCTGGCCTATCCTGAATACTATAGACTATGTACCATAATGTTTTGCCCTCAGCAGATAAAGAACAAATGTACATGACAAGTGCGAATATACCATTTCCCCTGTTCAAGTGAATAAAATTACACCCACTATATTCTACCTTCCCCCGACCCGACCTTCAATTTTTAGAGAATTAGGCATGTCTATGTGTTGAAATAAGTACAACTCTTTGTGTTATAGGAAGATAAGAGCAGAGAATAATTCAGCAGCCTATACTTAATATTTATGAATCATATGGAAATTCTTGGGATGGTACCATTTTCAGTCACAGAACTTATTTTTAAATTAATTTAAAAGACCCCCAAATTAAAGTTTAAAAAACAGAAATAAAACAAAAAGGGAACACGAACAGCTATAGCTGTCTATATGCTGCTAATTCTAGCAGCCAGAGAGGAATTCCACCAAATGTCATGAGGCAAAGGGCCTTGGTGTTTGTTGTTGGCTGTCTTGGAGGAATCCATCCATGACTCTCCCATTTAATGGGCCTCTGGTCTTAACCTATCAAAGCATCCCTCTCCCTAGAGGAAAAGACTAGTAATAAATACTTAAGTATAGTGTGTTATCTAACGCCCTTTATTATCATCCTAGAAAGTCTCAGTAAATATAAATGTGAACTACTTATTGGAGTAAGTAGTGCCTGTCAGTGGTCACTCTATACTGATTTATTGAATGAGGAATACCTTGAACTTGACCTCCACTTGTTGCTCCCCCATTTTGGAAACTTATGACATTGATTAAGCCCCACTGGTGACTAACTTAGTGACTAATTCAACGGGGCCGGCAGGGGCTAACGCATAAGGCTTATGACATTAGCACTCAGGCATCCTAAAGCCTTTATCTGGGCCAACATAAGTTACCTAGTTACTTATACAAACTCTACCCCACAGCCTAGATCTGGAAAAATCAGGAAAAATCAGCGGGAGAGAAAAAAAAAAAAAAAAAGCGAGATCAGCACCCATAACACACTGCATACCACTACTTCTGCAGCTATCCCTAGCTAGCACGTGGGAAAGATTTTATTTGTCAGCGCGTTTCACTTTTCCTTGATCTTCTACTTTCTTAATGGCTGCTTGGATAGCCTCTTGGTTGCCCAGGAACTGGTGAGGTCCAACGGCATGCAGGTTCTCGTCCAGTTCCAGGAGAATGGGGACTCCAGTAGGAAGAGTAATGTTGATAATGTCTTCATCTGAGATACCTGGAGATTAAGAGAGGGAGGAGCAAGGCATTAAAGACAACCCAGGAGGAAGCTGTGTTTACTTAATTAACTACACATTCACGTAGTCCCATATTAACTGCATGTTTGGAACCACACCAGGTACTGTGAGGGATTCCAGCTATAGTTGCTGGAAGCCAAGGGCGTCCCAGAAGTTTTATTTATTTATTTACTTATTTATTTGGTTGTGCCAGGTCTTAGTTGCAGCAGGCGGGCTCCTTAGTTGCGGCATGCGAACTTAGTTGCAGCATGTGGGATCTAGTCCCCCGACCAGGGATCAAACCCTGGTCCCCCTGCATTGGGAGCGCAGAGTCTTATACACTGCACCACCAAGGAAGTCCCTCAGAAGTTTTTTTTTTTTTAAAAAAAAGCTAAGACAGAAATTCAAATTACATTAAATCTTGGGGCAGTAAATACCTTTTGGGGCAAACTGTTCCTGGTTGTTTCCTATCTAAATCTTAAAGAAATGAAAATTATTCTCTCCATGCTCACATGTGTGTTACTGGTTTTCCGCAGAAATCAATCTTGAAAAATCTGAAAGTGAACTAGGGGGGGTTTCCGGTTTTTTCCTTTTATATGTTGTCCCCAGGCTGGCTAAAATTAACCTCAAAATCTAGTTCAGGGCTTCCCTGGTGGCGCAGTGCTTGAGAGTCCGCCTGCCGATGCAGGAGACGCGGGTTCGTGCCCCGTTTCGGGAGGATCCCACGTGCCGCGGAGCGGCTGGGCCCGTGAGCCATGGCCACTGAGCCTGCGCGTCCGGAGCCTGTGCTCCGCAAATGGGAGAGGCCACAACAGTGAGAGGCCCGCATAACGCAAGGAAAAAAAAAAAAAAAAAAAAAATCCAGTTCAATTGATTAGAAAGTGGCTGGTTTTCCAACACTGAGTGAGCATGGGATGCCCTGGGCTAGACCCAGTCAAGGAGGAACCCTCCCCTAGGCGCTCAGGAAATACAATCAAGAGGAATCAAAAGAAGGTTGATCGACATGCCTTGTAAACAGGTCTTGTTCTCCTGCTGTCCCTTAACAGCCCAACTGCTAGGAGAGAAAGGTATGTGTAATGGACAAATCACCTTCAATTCTTTTTTTATTTTTTAAAAATTTTATTTATTTATTTACTTACTTAGTTACTTACTTATTTTCGGCATGCTGCGCGTCCTGCGGGATCTTAGTTCCCTGACCAGGGACTGAACCCACGGCTGAGGCAGTGAAAGCATGGAGTCCTAACCACTGGACCACCAGGCAATTCCCTCAGTTCTTTTTTAAATAGCCTGAATCAGGGAATTCCCTGGTGGTCCAGGGGTTAGGACTCCGCGCTCTCACTGCCAAGGGCCCAGGTTCGATCCGTGGTCGGGGAGCTAAGATTCCCACATGCCGTACAGTGCGCTCCCACAAAATTTTTTTAAATAAATAGATAACATGAATCATAGGTTGTTCAATTTTGACCAGAAGAGCTGGAGTTGTGGCAAGGATGGTAGCAGCAGTGGTCGTGATATGGTTTCTATTATTATGAGTGTTTTTAAAAAACAATAAACATGCCAGGTACTCTTCTAAGCACTTTATGTGTATTAACTTATTTAATCACCGTTGCAATCCTAGGAAGATATGCACCATCATTTTTCCATGTAACAATTTCTGACACAGAGAGGTTAAGCAAACAACTCAAGGTCACACAGGCAGTAAATAGCAAAGCCTGGATTTAAACCCAGGTGTCTGTAACTAGTGCACAATGTCTTTCAAGTTTCTCTGAGTTCAAAATGGGCAAAGAGAAGAGAGGAGACCAGAAAAGATGGAGTTAAGCCAATTAAAAGGTGACTGAAAGTACTCAAATTATCTACTTTAAAAACACACTTTTATTATATAGACTTCTAAATTCTAACCATATGCTTCTGTTCTTTATTAATAGAAAGGACCCAGGGTAGAGCAAGTTCTGAGGGGAGTGCAAGGGCCCATCTTGGAAGGTGAGAATGGCAGAATAAGTTAGTAGCAGTTAGTTATCAATGCACTGTGTCATTTTAACTTTGGTCATAACTATGAGCACCAGTCACAGAATCATAGCACTGGATCTCAGCCGCTGGGGTGGTTCTTTATTAGAATTTCATTTCTAGGTTCAGAAGAGCTGCCTAAGAACTCTTATGCACAAGCTGTATACTCAAACAGCTATGAAACAATGGAAAGGATCATAACTTGGAAGTCAGGGTCTATTCTAAGTACACATCCTATCTCCTCCTTTGCTAGTCCCCTTCCAAATACTAACTAGTATAATATATAACTTTAGGCAAGTAACCTCTCTGGGCCTCCACTGCCTCTGTCTAATTAAAAAAAGAAACACGGGCTTCCCTGGTGGCGCAGTGGTTGAGAATCTGCCTGCCAATGCAGACGACACAGGTTCGAGCCCTGGTCTGGGAAGATCCCACATGCCATGGAGCAACTGGGCCCGTGAGCCACAATTACTGAGCCTGCGCGTCTGGAGCCTGTGCTCCGCAACAACAGAGGCCGCGATAGTGAGAGGCCTGCGCACCGCAATGAAGAGTGACCCCCACTTGCCACAACTAGAGAAAGCCCATGCACAGAAATGAAGACCCAGCACAGCCATAAATAAATAAATAAATAAATACATTGTGTATTAAAAAAAAAAAAAAAAAAAAAAAAAAAAGAAACACACACTCTTCTCTACCACTATTACAAACCCTGTGGGGCAGGAGGAATGGACTTAAAAGAGAACATACACGAGAAAGTATAGCCCAACAAGTGTTTCTTCTTTCTGTACTATGAATTCTCTTCTAGGTAGAAGATTTAAAGGGTAGGGTACTAAAACACTACTTTGTCCTGCCAAGCCCCCATCCCCACACTGCAACCCTACACAAGATTACCATCCCAGACTAAAGCTGGCAAGAACAGATAAATTCAGACCAGACAGCCAGCTGTTTAGCTGGGAGATGACTGCCTTGGATTCTAAAAGCCCTCGAACTCTCTCAGGTCAGATCTGTCAGCTGGCTGCATAGTAGCTGCCACCCACATCCCCTGGAGATAGCCAGAGAGGAATGCAACAGCACGTGGTTTAGAGCCAGGTGATCGCTAAGGATATAGAGAAACTGAAATCCTAATACACTGTAAAATTAAGAGTATAAAATCCTGTGGAATCTTTGGATAACAGTCTGGCAATTCCTCAAACAGGTAAGCACAGAATTACCATGGGACCCTGCAATTTCACTCCTAGGTATATATACCCAAGAGAAATGAAAACACATGTCCACACAAAAACCTGTACACGAACCCTCACAGCAGCATTATTCATAATAGACAGAAGATGGAAACAGTCTAAATGTCCATCAACTGATGAATGGGTAAATTAAATGTGGCAGATCCATGCAATGGAATATTATTTGGCAATAAAAGGGAAAGAAGTGCTGATACATGCTAAACATTGACAACCCTTGAAAACATTATGCTAAGTGAAAGCAGCCAGTCACAGAGTACATATTGTATGAGTCCATTTATATGAAATGTCCAGAATAGGCAAATCTATAGTGACATAAATAGATCTGGGGTTGCTTAGGGCCAGAGGGAATGGGAGAACTGGGCAGTAATAGCTAGGTATGGAGTTTCTTTTGAGGGTAATGAAAATGTTCTGAAATTGACTGTGGTGATAGATGGGTAACTCTGTGAATATACAACTCTGTGAAAATACAGCTCTGTGAAAAGCCACTGAACTGAACACTTTAAATGGGTGAACTGTATGTCATGTGAATTATACCTCAAGAAAGCTGTTTTAAAAACTACTAAACAGATCCGGAGAAGTTAAATAAAACTCTTCGAGTCACCAGACTGTTAAGGTAGTAAAATTAGACCTTTCTTTTAAATTCCCAAATTCCAGGACTTCAACTCTGGTCGTCTGACTTGTCTATGGCTATTTCCACCACAGCATAAGGAGAGAGGAGAATGTTTGTGTTCATGCTCTGCCCTTGTGAAGGGCTGGGTGCTAACTGGACACCAGCACCAAGTGTTCTCATGTTTTCAAGACTAGTAAAGGGATCAACTGATTTGTCTGATCCCCTTGAAATACCGAACACACTGGGATCATGATGGGCCAGGTTGAGGGTTTGCAGTCTGTGACCTCAGAAAAAAGTTCTGGGTCTTTGGCAGGGGGCGAGGGGCACACATGGAACTCATCTGACCATGGCCTCAGATCTAACCAGATCTAACAAGCCCTTTCTTTAAGAGCACCACTCTCAAGCTCATGCCTATGGCTTAGATAAAAACCCACTTTTGTGTGGGACCAAATGGAAGAGCCAACTAACAAAGGCCACGAGAACTATAATGTTTCACTTATAAAGAAAGGAGGGCTCAACAAAAATAGAAATGTTTCCAATAAATAAAGTTGACATTCCACTTTAATGACTACTCAAGCCATTCACACAGCAGACTAATTACTTCCAAATATTTAAAATACTTAGACTGGTTAATAATCAGTCAATGAGACTTAAGCGACTGGCTTTTTAAAATAGCAAATGAGGAAAAACCACAATGAAGCCATTACTCATTACTCAGTTTTGGCATAAGCCACATTCTTTGTCCTAAGAGAGTTAAGCAAGCAGAACTCCTAAGGCTAGAAAAATGCATCTGCATTGGATTAAACCAAACTGAATCAATACTATATTATGTAATATCGTATTACAAATTCATTAACTGGAACATCATATGAAAGTTAAAACGCATGGCCAGATATCACATCCTCTAATAATGGCTTAGATTGTTTGATACAGCATCCAAGAACGTTCTGAAGGGAAATATCTAATCCTGCATCAACCCATCTCTATCACTGCCCCTTCACCAACCCCCAACCATTGTCTTTAATTCTTGAATCTTCATGTAGGAGCGTCTGGGAGTTAACTGCTATCCATTTAAATGATTGGGATATTTTAAATAAGAAATAATGAAAGTTTGGTGGTAAGTCAAAGGAGTAGCTCAAAGCCAAAATAGGAA